ATCACACATCTATCCCAATAAACTCGACATAGGAGTCTGTAATTCAGTGGTTGTCGTTTGTTGCTGTGTTACATATTTGTGTCTCGATCATTTTTTTAGTACATTAATAAGGCCGTTAATTTTCTCGTTTGGATTGTTTTACATTTGTGATTTTGGGGCCTTTTATAGCTGACTATGCGGTATGGGCTTTGTTGAAGGCCGGCCGGTGACCTATAGCTGTTAATTTCTGTGTCATTTGGTCTCTTGTGGAGAGTTGTCTCATTGGCAATCATACCACATCTTCTTTTTTATATAGATAACATCACAGACCTATCCAAATAAACTCGACATAGACAACACCACACATCTATCCCAATAAGATCGGAATAGACAACACCACACATCTTTCCCAATACACTGTGACTAGACAACACTGCACATCTATCCCAATACACTAGGTAAAGACAACACCACACATATATCACAATACACTCGGAATAGACAACACAACACATCTATCCCCATACACTTTGAATACACAACACCACACATCTATCCCAATATACTCGGAATAGACAGCAACACACACCTATCACAATACACTCGGAATAGACAATACCACACATCTCTCCCAAAACACTCGAAATAGACAACACCACACATCTATCCCAATACACTTTGAATAGACAACACCACACATCTATCCATATATATTCTGAATAGACAACACAACACATCTATCCCAATACACTCGAAATAGACAACACCACACATCTATCCCAATACACTTTGAATAGACAACACCACACATCTATCCATATATATTCTGAATAGACAACACAACACATCTATCCCAATACACTCGGAATAGACAACACAACTCATCTATCCCAATACAAGCTGAATAGACAACACAACTCATCTATCCCAATACACTCGAAATAGACAATACCACACATCTATCCCAATACACTCCGAATAGACAACACAACTCATCTATCCCAATACAAGCTGAATAGACAACACAACTCATCTATCCCAATACACTCGAAATAGACAACACCACACATCTATCCCAATACACTGTGACCAGGCAACACCACACATCTATCCCAATACACTCGGAATAGTCAACACCACACATCTATCCCAATACACTAGGAATAGACAAGATTACTCATCTATTCCCAGAGGCGGATTTAGGGGGGGGGGGGGTCCTGGGAGCCCGGGCCCCTCTTTTTTGGGAAAAATTTGGTTGATTATATAGGGAATCACTGAAGCATGACTGGAGCGGGTCCCCTCTTAGGCAGTCAGTGGGCCCCCACTTATGAAAATTTCTGGATCCGCCACTAATTCCAATACACTCGGAAAAGACAACATCACACATATATCCCAATACACTCGAAACACATCTATCCATATATATTCCGAATAGACAACACAACACATCTATCTCAATACACTCGGAATAGACAACACCACACATCTTTCCCAATACACTCGGAATAGACAACACAACTCATCTATCCCAATACAAGCTGAATAGACAACACAACTCATCTATCCCAATACACTCGAAATAGACAACACCACACATCTACCCCAATACACTGTGACCAGACAACTCCACACAACTATCCCAATACACTCGGAATAGTCAACACCACACATCTATCCCAATACACTAGGAATAGACAAGACCACTCATCTATCCCAATACACTCGGAAAAGACAACATCACACATATATCCCAATACACTCGAAACACAAATACAGTTGATTCTCTCATATTACGACAAAAAAGACAGAAGAGATGATTTCATTTTACAATTTTAAACTTTCCATTTCTGTGCAGCAGGAAAATTCCAGCAGCGCATGCATATAAAGAGTATATAAAGACTAGTTGATTCGATATTCAAGTGATTGTGCTTCCTATCATGATTCCCGCATTAAATGGTTACTGCTTAAATGAAAGTATTTCATCAAAGGCTCTAAATAGATAAGTTGAACGCAATCATTCGATATTTTCAGACGCCACCGTGATTTGGTTGATTCCGTTATATTTTCTGCGAATGTGACATTATAGAATGCAGTTTTTCACGGGATGTAGACTTGCACATATAGAGAAGGAACTGTTTACCTTTCATGACATCTTAGTTCACCTCGATATTTGCTAGAGTTCATTTTTCTCAATCTTAGGTGTTGTGTGTAATGAAATTTTTGGGCATGGTGTTTTTTTTCATTAGACTTATCGATTGCTTGTCACCTCGTTTTATGCTACCATTTATTATACCACTACTTCAGGTTATTATGAAGGTTTGCGCCTGTTAAAACGTTTTAACCCGCTGCATTTGTTTGCACTTGTCCTAAGTCAGGAACCTGTTGTTTAATGGTTGTCGTTTGTTGATGTGGTTCATAAGTGTTTCACGTTTTCATTTTTTATATAGATTAGACCGTTGGTTTTCCACTTGAATGGTTTTACACTAGTCATTTTGGGGCCGTTTATAGCTTGCTGTTAGGTGTGAGCAAATGCTCCGTGTTGAAGGCCGTACTTTGACCTATATTAGTTTACTTTTTACTAGTTGTGACTTGGATGGAGAGTTGTCTCATTGGCACTCATGCCACATCTTTTTATATCTATATACATTTTAGAACTTGACTCTTCTTCTAAATCGTCAATACGAATAAAAAAATATATATGAGATATATACGTCAAAAAGACACTGTTCAAATAAAAACAAAACCAAAAGACATCAAGAGGTAGACACATCAACCTATTTTTTTGATCCATAGACAAATATCTGTCAAATGTATTAAATTCAAGTAAAGACAAGATGAGAGACAATTTAACAGGCACAATCTTAGACTTGTCTTAAATCTTTGATATATGTAAACGGATTTGTCTGTCACACTTCTGTCTCGGGATTTTTAAATTAATTGGAATCCTTTCGTCATAAAATAATTAAGAACTTTATTTGTCCCAGTAATTTTTAAAAATGTCCAAGTTCACTTAAATTCGGAGGTCTGATTACTATTATAAGAAAATTGATACATTGAAACTTGTAAATAAAGTGATCATACTGACGTCTGTCTTAAAGATACTATAATTTGTTTTCTATACCATATCACTGTAAGTGCTGCAAGTGGTTTCAGAAAGAAAGATATAAAAATCTATATTTCTTTGTGTTTATTCAAATGCATACCAATTGCGCACTTATTCTAAAAACAAATCAGGACGCATCATACATATGAATAAAAGAAGATAAAAGGAACACATCAATAAGACCGTGACTACCTACAAACAAAACCAAAAAAACAACAGACATCAAGGTCAACATATCGACCTAGGGTCTTGGTGGATCCATTCGTCATAAGATTTTCAGAGGTCGGATTTAATTAAGTTTTTTTAAATTAATTTCCCATGAAATATAAGGATTTGTCCGTCAAACCTCTTTCAGATAACAAGGTAGCTCATTTATTTTTTAGAAAATCTATGATACAAGTAATAACCTTTGTATTGAACCTACATAAAAGATTCCAGTGTAGAAAGAATCTAACTTACAGTTTAGAAGAAAAACATTGTATTGACTGTAACAGTTGACCAATGTCAAAAAGGTTTGATGGTTTGTTATTCTTACTCCTGGTACAGTTTTCAGCCTAAGAATTTGTATCTAAGGTCAATTTTGCTTGCGGGAGTTGAATCCTTAGTTTCTGATTAATTTCTTAATCTATCAACAGGGAATTCTACAAAATTACCATAGTGCTAGTAATCAAAAATAACACATTATACAATGTGATGCCGCTTTTCTGTTCGTTTGCGAAATATGGGGAAGCAGTAATAACAATGAAATCATTGAAAGGGTTCAATAAATGTTGTAAGATGATTTTACAACTAAATTCATCTTGAAACTCCGTCTTTATAATGTATGGTAAATTTGGAATGTTACTTTCCTCTCAAAATACAAACAAAAGCAAGAATTGTATCCTTCTTGACAGAAATAATTGCATTCTATAACTCATAAACTGATTTATCAGTTAGTTGAATGTTGACAATAAAGTGTGATATCCATATCTAGAAGATTGATTGGTTTAAACAAATGTAGTATAAATATGGAACACACAAACTTTTATTAGCAAGGAATGGTTGGTAAATATTGTAGATCAAAGTATTATAGATCAATTTGAACAAAATTTGTACAGCGAAATGGAAACCCTTTTAAGGGCCAGTTGAAGCCCGTCTCAAGATGCGGTATTTTCTCACTGCTTTTAAGAACCATTTGTGGCATTACACTGTTATTTCCTGCTCTTTAGTAGAATTGTTGTCTCTTGGACATATTTTCCGTTTCCATTCTCTATTGTATCAACAAAATCATTGTGTTGCCGGCTATTTAAACACTTTGAAAGTTATTTCTTTTAATATTTTAGATACGAGATAAATGATTGCTTATATATCCAGGACAACAAATCACAGGCTACCTGTTTAGAAGTGAAAACGGAAAAATACCCAACGTGAATATAAAATTTGCACTGTATGATATTGGAGACGAAATTCAATACCTGATGACATGCAATATATTTTTTTAAATGTTTAAATAGACTTAAATTCGGAGGTCTAGAGACTTTTAAGAGCAAATCGATTCTTTCAAGACGGTCTTTCTGTCAAACTTGCTAATAAATAGGTTGGTTCCCTGCGCATAATATTCAGTATGTCTTCGGAATACAGAAATCAAAACTTGTCAAAAAACGGTCGGATACCAGTCTAGCTAATAAACGGCTTAGTGATCCGGTCTGACGTCTGTCGCATAGATGCTGATTTGTCACATGTATGTTTTGTTCTCAGTACAATCAACTAGAAATACAGATATACATAAATCTGTATATTTAATCACGTTTAAAACAATTATGAAATTATTTTAAGAACTTATCAGGATGCGTGGTTTTAAATTTTTTAAAGAAAATTAAACTTTAATTAATGTATATTTGACATAAAGATAAGCTTAATCATACTTAATAACAGGAAGAGACTTTACACGGGTAGAAACATCTCTATATAAATCTGGTTTCCTAGATGTCTGGAGTATTATAAACTTTGAAGACGTCTTAGGGGTAAGTACATTATAATTTACACATACATTATTGATGTATAGTTCAATCAGAAAACGTTTTATTGAAATACCATCCCTTATATATCAAAACTTACTTTTAAGATTTTTTTCCAACATAAATCAAAGGTTTAGTTATAGTATACTTATCTGAGTGTTTTTACGGTTTTGAAATTGTCCATTTACGCAATATTCATAAAATATATATTTTAAAGAGTAAATATTAAAGGGGCACTAGCTGTCAAATTCATGTTCACCGATTTTACTCAGATTTTCATATTTGATTTATAACATATTAAAACGTATATCTAAATTACAATAAGTCTGAAATAAACAGTTAAGAAATTGTACCAAATTGGCTGCTAAAAACGAATTATTATTTCATCATTTTATTAATGATTGAACCAAACGAAATCATATTCTAATTTTTGTAGTATCTCGTAGCTAGCGCCCCTTTAATTAGAAATTAATATCTTCATCTAATCGTGGTATTATTAACTATAAACACACAGATTTAAAGTACAAGAATATTAGGATCCGGATACAAGTGTACATAAATATACATATAGAAAAAGATAATTCGTCTCAAGTTTAGCCGAACAATGTTAGATGTGCATATTTTTCAGTCCTAAAGATGTTTATGATGATTAACCCATTACTACATCAAATTATAAAATAAATATTTGAATTTAAAAGTACTAGTTACAATACTATACTGGTATTAAATGGGTGTTTTCATATTAATCCTGTATTATATTCAGTGCAGTCGTACATGTATTGGGTAAAGGTTATCTGTATTGGCCGGAGTCTTAGCAGAAGGCCAATACAGCTGATTGAGACCCAGTGCGAATGTACGAGGACTTATATAAAACAGGATTAATAATTATATATGAAAACACCCATTTTAAGACACCTTATTTTGTTTTGCTCTTCAATACCACCTTTAAAAAAACAACGATGACAATTCCTATTATATTCCGGTAACTTGTTCCATAATGTTATTGGTGGAGGAAAAAAACTATACATTATACAAAGTGCTTATAATAATGTGTGTACGGTCCTCACTTTTTTAAGATTTAGATTACTAGTTCAACCTTAGTTTATGTTAATTTTCAAGTCGCAAGTCATAGACTATCTCCGTTGTCTTTTATAACTCTCATAGTTATCAATTAAAAACAATTTAAGTTCAAGCACAAATTTGGGGTATCGTGTTTTAAATAAATGAACACTTTTATTAAATTTACTGTCCAGAGTTATCAAATACACAGACTGATAGATACCAGGATTAAAAGTTGGTACGCAAGACGCGCGTCTGAAGAAGACTCATCACTGACGCTCTAATAAACAAAGTTAAAAAGGCCAAATAAAGTACGAAGTTGAAGAGCATTGAAAACTCAAAATTCCGAAAGGTTTAAGATATATATTGAAGCATACTAATCATCCTATACAATGCATTTGGTTTATACCGCTTGTTAAAAAAATCTTTTTGAAATAAATGAAAGTGAAAAAAAATGTTTATTATCAATCTTTAAAACTTCAAATGATGCAATTTATTTGTTAACATTATTTACATTTTATATTGCTATTTTTATATATTTTCAGGAATTTAAGACATAATTGAAGAAGTATAACACAAAGTTTCATTATGCAGGTAAGTTGATTATTTTTTTTTTTAAATCTGGAAAAGAAAAACACAACTATCTTTCTGATTGCTTTCTATCTAAATGAGACAAAGATTATAGCTGAAGTAACATAATTTAAAGGATTTTCTTACATTAACATTTACTGTTTTGTCTCTCACTTCAAAATCTGAATTACATAAGAATTTAATAAAAGTTTGACAAGAGGTTCAAATCGTTAGCGAAGTTTTTTTTTGTATGTATGTTTATTTATAATGGATTGACTTTGAAGTTTACAAAATAAAGAAATGGAAAAAGGCAGGATGACAATTTATGTAAAAAAAGTCAGGATAAACTAATAAAAAAGGCGGGACCGAATAGAGTTAAAAATAAAAAGGCAGGTCAGAGATTACAACTAAAACAAATGCAGGACAAAATATTTTTCATCCTAGCTCCCCTTAAAATCAAATGGTAGCTCCCTAAATAATCAAATTTACATTTTTTTACAAAGTACTAATTATCATTTAACCTATTACTGATATGTTTCAGGTCAAGTTTATGTTGCTGGCAATCTGTGCTGTTTTACTTTGTATCAATTTTGTAAAAGGAAGTTCCAGTGATAGTGGTGATAGGAACGTTGGTGGGAGATTCAGAGGGAGTCAGAACGGTGGGAGATTCGGAGGGAGGCAGAACGGTGGTAGCAGCGATAGCAGCGACAGTAGTAATGGTGGAAGAAGGAGGCAAAGACCAAACCAATGTTATTACCAGTGTGACTACGCCCTGTATAAGTGTAAAAATTATCAATGCAGACCCCTTTATCACAGCCAGGGATATTTTTACTACAAACAATGTATCAATGATTGTCAATTCATCAAAGAAAAATGTTATTTCTTTTGTAATGAGTACGGATACTATCCAGGGGATAACCATCAATTCTAACTCATTTCATATAACCAGCGATGTATAGTTAATATTCTATTGTTTTTTTTTATAAATTATTTAATGAAAACATATCAAATGTATTCACTTTTACATGTGTTGCCTTGGTAACATTGATAATTTTATGTGGTACATCATAGATGTATAAATGGGTTTATTAATCTATGGGTACATATACATTGACGATTTTTCAATTTGTTAACTTTTGAGTTGTATATACATTTTTATAAGCAAAAAAATCAACGTTAAAAGATACAGTCAGCAAATAAAAAAGATCTACTTTTAGATCGACGTCTGATGTTCATATATGTCCAGCATATATTTTGTCCTGCATTGAAGACCCATTGGTGGCCTTCGGCTGTTGTCTGCTCTATGGTCGGGTTCCAATGCATTCCCCATTTCCATTCTCAATTTTATGAATGAATACAATAAGATCTGGGTAATGCGTCAATGAGAGAGTAACCTAATGACAGAAAAAAAAAGACACATAGAGGTCAGAAAACAGATTTCTTTTTATATAAATTTAACTAAACTATGTAAAGTGTACAACCATACTTACCACTGACGCCACTCTATAAAGTGAAATCTAATAATGGCTGATTTGTTTTGTATCGTCACATTAATTTGTTATGGTAGAGTAATGGTACCCAAAAATAAATTTCTAAAAATAGAAGACAAAAAAGGGATCTCATTCAATGTCAAGACAAATGCAGGTTAATATTACAAGAGTTTTTTTTTAATACGAATCCCATCTTTACTTTAAAACTTATTTGTTATCGTAGGTCCCTGTTTTAATCAATCGGATGTCGAAGTCATTGCAAGCTTTAGTGATTATTCTTAAATTGAGTTATTTTATCCTGTAATTCTGACATTAAAACATTTATACTAAACATTATAATTACATATGAATTTACGGATATAAAAATTGCTAGTCTACGTGTGGTTCCCTTTAATAGTTTAACATTGTGTTAAATTAAATGTGGAAACATTTAATAAAACAAAATACTCGTAGAACTCTATAAATAGTGTTATTTTTATGCTTTCGCGACGGAGATTCGATGGCATATTAATGAACACTACTTAATAAGTATAAGAAGATGTGGTACATGTATGACTTCAAATGGAACTACTATCCACTAGAGACTAAATGAGGTAGATGTTAGCAAATAAAGGTCATCGCACGCATACGGCCTCCAACAATGCGCAAAATCCATACCGCACAGAAAGGCGTTTACCCGACATGACAAAATGTTAAACTATTCCAACGAGAAAACCAACGGTCTGATTGTTTAACCTAATGATAAAGGAAAACTAAATATGATATACAGCAACAAACCACAACATTTGAATTACAGGATCCTGTTGACTTGTCAAGAAAATAAGGCTGACTTGTTGTGATAATTAATTCGACAATTCAACAAGACAAGGGCAGTTACGGGCATTCATCTCGACCTCAAGACGAGTTGCCGAGATAGCTTTTGTCGAATTATCTGGGCAACTGGTCAATTCGATGGCAGCTGTGTGCCACCATACATAGCTGTTTATTTACACCAAATATCAATAGGAACAGTCAAGTTGAACATTTGTTTTAATTCCATTATTTTGTCGGTAAAAACTACTATATTTATTTTAATGTACAAATGATGAGGCGTCCCCGTGACAGATAAAAAGGCAAACACAACGACAGAGAGGGTAAACCAGGCATATCATTGTACATATACCCCGGCGCAGTAAAAAAACGGAACGACATCCATTAGATAAATGAAAATACATGAAAAATACACTGGTGATTAACAATTCAGAATCCAGCATACTTATATAAAGTAAATAAAAAAAGATATCGTCCAAAGGCCGTGTCAAGGCAAGTATCCTAAGACATGTCTTAGGACCTTTTTTAGGATGGTCTTAGGACGTGTCTGAGACATGTATTATGGTGTACAACAAAGCTATCTTAGGACAGTGCTAGCTACCGTTGTCCTATGACCATCCTAACACACTTATTTAATCGATAAAAATATGTAGAGAATTAAATGACATATATTTATTGTATTTCAGTAAATATGTAAACGGAGGGAGGTTGCATCTTTTAATGAAAAAAAAAATCAACGCAAAATATGTTGTTTAAAGTAATACTAATAGATACTTTATTATAGACTATAAAAAAATTATAAATGCATTTCATACAACAACAAAACTAAATAGTCACAACTCTTTTTAGAGGCGATATTCGTGCTGCAATTTTATCTTTATAAACTAGAGTCCTTAGGTCCACTCGATTTAATTACATGTATTGAATCAGCCTAAGTTAAAAAAGAAGTCCGAATTTTTCTGCAAACCGAAATTTAAGAGTTCCACATTTCAATTATTATTTCACAATTTGGTTAGGTGCAAACAGTGTTGTTAATGATGATAAAATTATCAAGCTTCCAAAAGGGCAGCACGAATTATTCTAAATAAGCGTAATAATATGACATCGACAGACCTACTTTTTGGAGAGCTACGAATGATGCCCATTTGATATGATTTTGTATAAAGAAAAGCAAGTTTAGTTCTTAAAGCAAATGAATCCGGATTATCTCAATTTATAAATATATGTGCACCATATACATTCTAGAACACCCAGACAAAGTTCTTGTAATATGCTTATTCCAAAAACTCAAATTGAATACTAGAAACCCTCTTTGTTGATATCTGGAAGTATTTGATGGATCAAAGTCTACAAAAAATAATTTGAAATAACGAAACATAATTGAATCTTTAACATATATTGAAGAATATTTTGTTTAACTAGTTTAGTTCTAATAACAGTATAATAGTTTACTACTGTATGAGTATTTTTATTATTGACTTTAAGCCACATTAGTTGTTTTTTTTCGACTTAGGACATCGTAACTTTTAGGACTATCCTAAGACCATCCTAAGACACCTATTTATCTATCCTAACTTAAGGACCAAATTTAGAACATATCTTATTTAAGGAGACTTTCGTTAACCTAGCTTAGGACTAAGACGTGTCCTAAGTCCATCCTAAGACATGTCCTATAGTCCTAGGACAGCTTCGTTGACACGGCCCCAGGTATATGAAATATTCTTGCAAAAATCTTGTCTTGTTAGCAGGATATTGATGCCACGGATTATTCCTGTAGACATCAGTTTCTATACCTTTTCATGATACAAACACGGGGATACACATTAAAGCATTATAAATCCCTGGTATTCAACTTTTAAAATATTCAGAAATTGACTTATCGCAGGGATACAATTACACATTTTATTTTCTGGAAAATGTCTTTAACAAAAGTCAGGAATACGACAATTGCTAGCGAGATGTGTTCGTTTATGTATGGGGTATATCAGACTTTTCGGATAATATAAGACTATGGTGAACGTTTTATTTTCATTTTTTTGAAAGAGTGCATAATTAGAAGTTATTGTAGATATACGTATGGTAACTTAAGCTTAATATAATATGTCAGATTCTCTGTGGGAACAGAATGGAGTGGGGATCAAACAAAACCAAGCCGAATCAAGGGATGGAAAAGTATGACACACTGATGCATTTTCGTAATAAGAGATCAAAATATAGTACATAGTATATTACATGCTCAAAGGCTTCCACTGAATTCTACTTGACTAGTCTTAACCAAACTTTGTATAAATACTGTAAAAAAGTTTTTTTTTATAGATAAAATATCTATTTTCTGTAATCTACTGAAAAACATAGCTGCATTGTACCAGCATAAATTTGGTACTGTCTTTTTTCCCTTCTGTAACTAGCAGATTTTATACATTCAGATATAATGGTTAGAAGATTAGTACTTTAAATGAAAGTTCTTCTATCATGTTTATTCTATGGAATAAATGGTGTTGCCATTTTGGACACCTTTGAACCACCATCGTCTAAAATAACATAGAATTTCGAAAGTACATGAATGGTGCGTCAAAATAATTTTGCTATGATGTAATTTTGGTGTTGTGTGACTCAAAACTTTTTAAGAGAGTTTTTCAACGTTGAAAATGAAACAAAAAAAAACTGCAGTGTTGAATAGTGACTTCATATATTAACCTAGCACATGATAAATATAATCAATAAAAAAAAACGCCATTAAACAAACAAAACCTAAAATTCTTGTCGAAGTTTATTTACCCTAAAAGCATCGATGAAAATTGAAAATTAGTTAAATAATTAGTTTATAAACAAAACTTTCAACTGCTTTGAAAAATGATATTTTTGATAAAAACAAATTCCAGTCAAATTGATAACATGATTCTGTTTATTAAGTAAGAAGTGTTCTTTGACCAAACTGAAACCAAAACATTGATGTATTTCATTAGAACTTATCTAGCCCGGAAGAAACATTTGTGTTGGCTTACTTTTAAATACAAGAAGGTTCTGATTATCTTTGCCACATGTGCCTATAAAAATACTTTTTTTTGTTGAATTTATAGACAAAACGCCAACCTGTTATCAAAGACCGTTGTTTATCAACAAACAATCAACTTATTACCGGATAAGTCAAGACTAATACGAAGTAACCACTAGTGGAGTCTGTCTATACTTCGATCCAGAGTACATATGTCCATGTCTTGTTAAGGACCATGGGGTTCATTCATAGTATATAACTCAGTTTTAATAATTCCGTGCATTGTTTTGTGATTTGTTTTTGTCTTACTATTTTAATTTTAAATAATAGGTCGCTTGGTTTTATTCAATTGAAATGATTAAATGTAGTTGTGGAATAGACGTCTAATGAGACTGCAATTCAATATGTTATTCAAAGCAACAGATACATTTAGAAATCAGCATGTTTTACCATATTTAGCATTGGGTTTATCGTGTCATCTTTTAAAAAGTTAGTGCGCATTAAGGTTTCTGACCCCCTTCTGTAGCCCTGTGAATTGCGAAATTTTCAAACTGCAATAGTATCAAAACATAAAGATAAAATAAATGAATAATAGAGATGGGCCATTTTGTACATATACCAAGGGGAAACTTAGTGCAAAGTATTATTATTTATTGTTTCATTGCATTTAATAGAAAAGGGGGATTTTGTGGCAAATAAAACCATTTTTTTTTGTAGAAAATCCACAGACTTTAATACAGAGATTTTTGTTATAAAATTTTAAACATAGATTACTCACTTGTTTTTCCATGATGTGATAGCGCTTATTGTGTACAAAACGTCCTAAAAAATTTTAAATTCCAAAAAAACTCGTGCAGAGTCACTAAAGTCGGGCGCACCCTAGAAGGTGTACTTAAATTGGTCCATATTTATATTTGTTTTAACCAATATCTAAATTT